TAAAGGTTATATTAGAATATGGAGACTGGGATATGTGTTACTTCATCTAGTTACTATTAACAAACTTCACTGAATATACTGTAATTTTTTACATGTGCTCAGTCATAGAACATTATCATTATCAGTAGACATTTAGATATACAAACCAGCCTGTCCCTCCATCTGTTTGCTTCAGAATACTTGGCATTTATTTTGTAACGTTGTAAAAGTCGTTACAGTTTTGCAGTTGAGATCTATTACAGCAATATCAATTTTTCATATTCAAGTTAGCTTTAAAACCAGAAGTTTGCCTTTTATTTATAACTACTTGTGCCTTGCTCTATGCTTATGCATGGAGTGGGGGAGTTATATGTGTGGAATACAGCTGGGCAATAAATAAGGTTGCAATCTCTGTCATTAGTGATAAAACCTTTTGCAATGGTACATTAAAATAGAAATATCTAGAGCACTGGATTAAAAAACAAACAAACAAACAACAAACTAAAACCAAATCCTTTATAACCAGGAATTTGCCTCTGCTTTCTGAAGTATTTTAAGGAGACATTTTTTGCATGGTTTCCACAGAAACATTTTGCAGCAAGAAGGTATTCCTATTTAAAATAAATTGTTAGCCAAAGCAGTGGGAAATTGGAGACTCTTTTAGATCTTGTGTAGTTGAATCTTTATCATTTTATTCTGATGATCATGTTCAGCTAAAAATTTGCCTGTTTGGTATATAAATTTGCCTGGTGGTATATAATTAAGTATATATTTAATGATTGTGGCTATTTTGTAGAATTAGCCAAACATTCAGAATGGCTGTTTTGGATAGGATAGCCTATTAATGTTGATTGGGAGCAGGAAGTTTTTATCTTCATTTTTCTTGCCCTTCTTTCCCCTTTTCCCCTTAACCCCCCAAAGGAAATTTGGTTTTGAACAGATTTTTTAGAGACTGATGAAGATGTTATGGTTTTTAAAATTATAGCAAACAATAAATGAGAAGATAGGTAAGGGGAGAAAACAACCCTAATCAGTTAAACTTATTAGAATTTCACAGTTATCAGGAGGCAGTAAATTGTAAATTGATACAACCCCAGGATGAGAAAAGAGGTAGAATGAAATCAGGTTCCATTTAGATCTATATAGTCAAAATTTTAACACTTACAGATACATTCAGTAGTGATATGTGGCCAAATATGTTAAACCATGTGTTTCAGAAAACTTATTACCATATTCCTTGCAATGGATTCAGACTGATGTAAAGATGGGTGGCACTTGCAGTTCACACAGACTTTTCCAGTAGTGAATACAATGCTCTGTCATGTTTAATAGTAGATGAGCACATTGAACTTAACAGAAACTTTTCTTTAGCTGATGATACTGCACATCACATCTTTAGCTATGCTTATTGAGTATATCACTCCAGTGCTGTCCCTGCTACTCTTCATGGCTATTGAATCAGACAAAAAGTCTTTCTCCAGGTTCTCAAAGCTGCCGAAAGAATGAACTCTTGGTATTTTAGAGATTTCTTTGTCTTCATAAGAATAACATCTTCAACCGTCTTTCTTTTGATGCTATGAAGCTGTCACCCTCAAGGCTAAAACTCTTAAAAGCAGGAGCTAGGACTTTTACTGCCACATCGACCAAGTTTGGGATGTAATTAGAAAATGTATTAGAGTGACTGACTGTTGCAACGGGAATAAATTCCATTGAGTTTTCTGGTTGCTCTGTTTAGTTTTCTTTCACATGAAGGTGATAACAGCAAAGAGAAAACGAGATGCCAGAAATGAGGGAAGGAGTAGGTTGAAGGTGAGGAATGGGAAGAAATTTATCAGGAAAGAGGAGAAGAGAATGATATGCTTGATAGAAGGAAGAAAGAAGTTAAGACATCCAGCAAATTACTGCTTTCTTATTTACCTTCTGAGAAACACATACTAGGTCAGAGACAACATCTGAAAACCTACATGTGCAGATAAAAGAAGGCAGCTTAACTGCGCTTTTCATAAATAGGCTGAGACTATCTGCACACAGTGACATTTAATTAGGTCAGTAAGCTGCAAGTGATTTCTTTTTTATCCTATGTTTTAGTTATGGTTGAAAAAATATTGCAGTTTGTAATTTTGTGTACTTATCTGATCAAAATTCCATAAAGTAGATCAGGAATTTGCCTACTCTGGGGGCTTTAACAGTATTCTATATATACAGTAATTTTTAATACTATTTTACTGAGTAATTAAAGAACTGGATGGTAACCTAGTCCCGTGACACATTGTTTTAATTACAGTTGTTCGCAGTTTAATTGTACACAATTTAATTACAGTTCAGGTAGAATAAAACAAGTAAGTGAATAATGGATATGTCAGCTAAAATTGGGGGACCATCAGCCTGCTCAGATGTAGCTTTTTCTTGTAGCGACCTATTTATGATACAGTGGGCGTTGGGTCTATTAGGAACCCCTGATCACATGACAATGATTGTTTAGCACCTTCCTGAAGGGACTCGTACTAGTGAGAAATTTAATATTGTAAAACAATATTTTTAACTGGTGCCACACTTCTGCACAGTTTTTTGTGACGCTGCTCTCTGCTGGAGGAATGTAGTATATGTACCAGTTCTTTACACACTGAAACAATTCAGTTTTAGTAGAGGATTAGGTGCAGATAAATGACATATTGCATAAAAGATTGTTATATACTCTCTCCCATTGACACTCTCTCCCCCAGCTCAGATCAGAAGCATAGCCTTACATGGCATACTTTCTTTTAGATCTCCACAGACATTTGCCTGCCACAATGCAACATAAATTTTGTCCTAGTATCAGACAGTGATTATTAAATAAAAGTGAGAAGTGAGTCTCAGCCTGTATAAAACATAGTGATTTAGTATACAAAGAACCTGAATTAAAAGGATCACAGTTATTTCATTTGTATAGCCTATATCATAACTTACAGTAATTAATGTAGTTAGAAGAAAATACGAAAGTCAAACTTCTCAATTTCTTTTTTTCTTTTTTTCTTTTGTGTGTGTGTGTGTGTGTATGTTTGTGAGAAGTTGATCTTGCTTGCTGATCTGAAGTAGTACCAGAAGATACCCATCCTGAATGAGACATAGGGCCTGGAGAAATGAGATCTGGTGCTTGGAGGTGTCACACACCCACTGCCTCTCTCTGGAGGCATTACAAAACTGTCATACTGAAATCCAGCAGACTTGTCTGCCAGAAACCATGCAAGAGATGACCCTGGCTATTCATTGTGACTGATAAACTTTAAGATATAAGATATCTTCTTTTTATTCTGAATCTCCCCTTTTCAGTTTCACTTCCTTCCATTCAAACACCAGAATCCTATTAGAACAGCAAATGCCAAACAAACATCCAGGCTGAAATGGTAGATCCATTTGCGATTAGTGTATCTTTCTTCTTTCCTCTACCCCCTTTGTATTCTGAAGAAGCCACTTGTTTGCTTTCTCTTTGTCTCTTAGCTGTTAGAAAGCCTTTAAAAATGCTTTTACTTCCCTGTCACAGCATTATGCTCTTTGGAGGGAGGATCAGCTGGAGTCATGGCAAAGAGAACTGCTGTTCTGGTAGTTTTATTTTGTATTCACCATACGATTGCCAGAATTATATTGTTCCTTCCCAAAGGGGGAAGATTGGTCTCTCATGCAAATCACTGGTCCTTTTCTAGGCTTTTGTAGCCTTCCTGAAATTGTTGGAAAGGATCCTTCTTTCTGCAGAGTGGGGAGGAGGAATTGCACCAGACAGGCTGGCCCCAGTCATTTTATCCCTTTCCTGTGTCTTACAGCTCCTTTTGAGGAGCAGGCACCAGGCAGTAGCTATCCTGAGTTCCCAGGGCTTCTGCTGCTCTTGTGCATTTGGTGTGCCAAATTCAGCAGCATTATTTGACTTAAATTGAGACTTGCATTGGTATGAGGGTACGCAGAATCTGGCCCACAGCCCTAACTGTATGCAAAAGTATCCATGCTCGTTTAAGCTGAACTGATAAATAAGCATTCTTCTATTGATTTAAGTCATACATGAAGATGGTACCCATTAAACAAAATTATCATGTGTACATTGTTTCAGCTCATATTTGTGGGTAGAGGTGTCCACAGATTGTTTTCACAGAGCCTTGTTAGTGTTTATGGAAGTGCAGCTGTTATCCTCAGGAATGCCCCCAAGCCTTGGAAAATCTAGCGAGAACACAGAGAATGCCCAGTAATAGTTAGGAATTTATTTTAAAAGAAGTGATGAGGTGAAGTAGAAGGAATACAGCTTGAAACAGTCTGAAAAGATCTACAGTGTGATTGAAAGTAGCAGGCATTAAATTACCTGTTTCTTGAGTGAGTTAAGCAGGACAGAAATTTTAATTTAACCCTCATCTCCACAGACATCAGCACATGCGTGCAGAGGATTATTACCACCGTCTGTTTTATCCACAGTAGTTTCTGTCAGTTGTGCTATTTTGCTTTTTTAGTGTTTAAGTGCTGCTTTGAAGCTGTTGTGTTAATTGTTAATTTAGGCTGAATCTGTGCATAGATGCCTATAGCAGTGTCAGCATGCTAAAATTATAACTGTTAGATTAATGAATGGAAGTATTAGCTCTGTGCTGGTGCAGTACATTAATAGCTGTGCAAGTTCAATCAAATACACTACTGACTTTTTCATTGTGTAATGGTATTTACCAGATCTTAGACAGACTGCTGAGAAAGATGAATGTAGTATTTCATTTTTATCTGACTTAAAAATAAGGTAACAAAATAATTTTCATAGAATATTTTATTATTATTCTTTGCAGCAGGAGAAGAGTTGTACCTGTAGACTTGACTTCACTGAAATGGAATATGAATGTGTCAGGGACATTGTAGTGAAAGGAAGGAAAACTAACTGTTGCAACCTCTGTCTTTCAGTGACATTCGTTAGACATTGTATAGTCTTGTATTCTGAATCACTAGAATTAATACTAAAAAGAAAATAAAAAGTGCTTATTCCTTCCTTTTTTTTTTTTTCTTTTTTTTCTTCACAGAACCTGAAGAAAGTGTTTGTAGAATTTAGTCATCAGGAGCTGTTTGAGTTCTATAACAAGGTCTGTAGATTTTATGATACTATAGTTTCTTTGTAAACACCTTATGCTACTCAGCAGGAAGTGTTGCCTATTTGAATTAAATCTAATGAGACTGGAAGGAAAATGGATCCAACTTTAATTAAGTCTATTGGATTTGTTTGATCACATAGAGCATTTTCAAGAATAGTCTGTGCATTCAGATATGGAATAGACAGGGCTTGGGTCATTGTAAACATACCTGGCAATTAGATCAAAAGGAGTAGCTGGTGATAAGCAATGAGGAGCTCTCTGGAAAGAACATCTTTGTGTTATGTCTTCAGTAGAAATGCCAGGCTTGTAATCCAGTCAAAATGAACTCTATTATATTTTTTCCTTGTTATTATGCATTGGAAATTCACAGCAAAACATCTGTGCATGTAAAAAAGGTAATATTTAGACAACTGTTTCGTTAAAATTTTAATATTTAAACTGCAGAAATGAATTCTAATAGCTTCATGTAAAAACAAATATTCATGAGTACAGGATTTTTTTATTGCTATGTGAATAGATTTAGTATGCATAGTTGAAGATATTGAAATGTGGAAATTTTTTTTTTGTTTGCATGTTTCTAAACAATATTTTATATGAGTGGAGTTTTTTCTTTGTTTTTTGTTCCTTTAAATAGCTGGAAACTATACAAGCACAGCTGGATTCCCTTACATGATGTTTTTGAAGACTTATTTCTCCATCACACTCCTGCCACCTCATTATTTTGAATTGAAGATAGATTGCCAAGCTGTGTTTGCTGAGGGATTCAGTGGGTTGCTTCCTGTAAAATTATATGGCTTATATCCTTTTTAGGCCAGTAACATTAGGCAAGAGTCTTTGTTAAGAGTCTGAAGCTTCTAATGGACTTTGTCTTGTTTTCTGAGCAATAGTGAAGAATGGCTTTACAAAAAAAAAAAAAAAAAAAAGCTACCCTGCTTCAGAAATATTTTAATTTTTGTCCTGTTATGTGTGTCACTTGATTCTGGTAGAAATTTCCATGTAATGAGGGATCAGGAATAAAATCTATTTTTAAGACATAAAAGTAGTAAGAAAATACACACCTAATAACAATTCAAAAGGACAGAGATTTTATTCACATGATTGATAATGCATATTGCAAATTAATCAAAATAAATTCAGATTTTTTAAATGGTTGGTTTAGTTTGGGTTATTTTAACTTCATTATCTTTGTTATGTTTTAGTTTGTGGTTTGTTGGTTGTTGTTTTTTTTTTCTAAATAACAATATCACTGATTTCAGTGTTTGCTTTTGGCACTGAGAATAAATACAGCTTCTTAGTACTGCATGCATACTAATAAATCTAAGTAGTATGGTGTGTAACCGGGGAGGGAAATCTCAAAGTATATGACAAAGAACTGAAAGTCTGACAGTCAGATTTCTGAAAGCTATTTGTTGATCCTTCCTAATGTTGTCCACCACCATTCTTACATTGAATAGCAAGAAATAAAGAACAGTCATTTAAAGGCCAAGTTATTTTCATACATTAGTTCCAGATGAATGGAGGTCCATGAGCAGTATGACAAGGTAAAAGTCATCTTAGTTCTTGTTTGTTGCCTTTCACCAACAGACAACTTCAGTGCTGCACCTTGATAATGGGCACAGTGTACAACTCTACTCCAGGCTAACAGAAGGTGAGAGGAAATTAAAATCTTCATCATTAGTTTCTCTTTCTTTCTCCTTAAGGAATTTCCTGAACAAGGCTTTTTTTTTCCAGGTGTCTAAAACAGGGATGGTTAATACCTAACCAGCCAATTTTCTTTTGAGGTCTGTTTGCTCATGACAGTAGATAAAAATGTAGCTAGAAGGTATGTCTTGAATTGCTGGTGTTTAGGTCCTCTTGTGCCAGATTTCTTACTTTGTTGCTTTTGGAAGGTGCTTGTGGGCTTTTTGTGTTGCTTTATTAGGATTGTGCTGTCACCTGTAGAACACTGAAGTAGTTTGCACCAGTTGTTTAAACTGTGAGATAATAGATTTAGAAAATAAAGTCATTAACAGCCTACATTTTAGTAAAGGGCACTGAAGAGAAAAAACACATCATAGGTCTTAACTGAAATGCCAGATGATACTGGTAAGAACACTATTACTGTGTTAGAAGAAGAACTGAGTCACTGTTGCGCAGCAGAATCTTATCTCTCTTGCGAGACTGACTGCCAAAATCAAGTCTTGTCTCAAGCCACTGGCAACTGCGCCTTGTCTTCTGAGGATATAACACTCCCACCCGCAGACATCACATCCTCAGTTTGGCTATTTAGCTTGCCAGCTCACTCATCTGAGGCTGCATAGGTTGGTATGTCTGCAGGTGAGTGCATCCCTACCTATACCTCTGCCTGACAGCATTAGCAGTGCATTGTAGTTAGCACAGCTAGGAAAATCCCCTTCTTCTTGACACTTAGGTCATGGCTTCTCTACTGGTCCTGTGGGGCCGTATATCATGGGCTAGGACATCGCTTTAAAGTGTTTTCCCCAAGTTTCCATAGCTGAAGTTCTGGAAGTTGGGTCTGAAGCAAGTTGAAGACTCTCCTGTGTGGATGCAGGACATACTAAGGCAGTTGTTCAAGCGTGAGAGAGGGGTTATGTTTCTAAGTATAGACAGGGATGGATGAAGCCTGGAGGATGGAGTGAAGGCAGGACCAGTTTGGAGTGCAGGAAATATTGGAAAAATTAGCAGGCACGTCTGAAAAAAAAAAGCAAGTCGAAGATGGAGTAGGAAGAAACTGGGTGTGGGAAAAAAAAAGGAATGATAGAGACATGGATAATCCCAAGCATGGAATTTGGGAGTTATAAAACTATAATAGAGAGAGTAGGAACACTGAAAAAGATGGCAAAAGTATATATTCAAATAAAATACTAGGCAAAGGGGGAGAAAAAACCTATACAGTAGGGGATTGGGAAAAAAAATGGGGAAAAAAAGTAAGTCAGAGATAACTATGAAATCTGTGGCCAGTTATGTAATGGTATTGTGCTAGTTTGAAAACAAACTAGTTGGAGACACCAAGTAAGAATAACAACTTAATAAGAAAAAAAAAGTATAAAGGCAGATAACACTGGGTTAAACTAACAGTCAGGATACAACCTGACACCCTGTTAATCAGGGCGGTGGTAGCAGTCTGGTAGAATGGTGGCTGCAGTCCCCCAGAAGCAGTGATCCTGTAGAAAAAAGAGATCTGCTCTTCCTCAGAAAAGTCCAGTGGTGGCTAAGCAGCTCCTGTCCTCTGGGAATCCAGTGGAAAAGAGAGGCCTCTGGTATTCAGAATCTCAGGTTATATCCAGGATGGAATGCTGGTTTTCCCCCTCTGGGTGGAGCATCTCACAATGGGATAATGAGTCATGCTGCATGGCATTGATGGGCCAGCAACAGAAAGATAGTCGGGGGGGGGGGAGGTGGGGTGGGAACAAGGAAACACTGCCCCACCAGATTTCCACAGCTCGTGAGGGTGGTAATAGAATACACTGCAACCCAGGACATAATCCACCCCTTATTCTATTATCATCTACATCATCCCAAATCCATACCTTCCTTAAACTCTACACACGCCCCCCCACATATATATATACAATGAAACCCTACACACGGTTCTCACCTAAGATTAGGTCTCCTTGTGGTACACAATGGGTTTCCCCATCTTTCTGCATTACCCAGCAAGTGTAACCAGGTCCTTGAGCAAAGACAATCCCAAGGATGGGTTTGCCTTTACCTGAGGTGGGATTAATCCCAACAGTCTTTCCTTAAATACCTCTCAGGTGTACCACAGGGACTCTATCTCCATCCACTGTGTGCAAGGGTTCAAGACTCGGCGGGACCAGCTCGATTGATGGACCCTCGG